GAGGATAGACTTGGCTTTGGTTGAACAGATATTTTTGTGCAGAATTAGCAGTGCGTGGATTTCATTGATAAGTAAAGGTAAGACAGCATAAGATGTTTTTGTTTAGTTTTTTAATTAAATGTGCGTTTCGTGGGTTACAGTTTGGATGTCTAAGTAATTCAGTAAAGTAGAAGCGGTAGCTAATCTACCACAGCAATTATTTATTAATAAAACATTAAACCTAAAACGTACTACAACAACAGACTGCATGTTCTGTTCTGTGTGGAAAATTCTTGAATGTTTTTTGGTGTTAAATCCTAAAATATGAAGTGGCATTGTTGTCAGTTGCTATGGCAACGAGCCTGCGTGTAGATTGGCGGATACAGAGCGAGAAAGTGCTTTCTCGCTTTCCCTTTGCTGTGGATCATAGCACGAAATTAATACCTACATTTCTAAGTTTCACTGAGTTAACGCGGCTATGGATGACATGTAAAAGATTAGTCTTTTTGCCCCCCAGAGTTGTGTGCCTGCGCGAAATTTCTGTACGTCAAATAACATACATGGCGTCTATATAGTCGTAAGTCAGTGCCTCACCAGCAATGAACCTCACCTCACGTCACTGATATACACACACACACACACACACACACACATATATATATATATATATATATGTTAAAACCTTCAATGTCATAATTATTTGCTACTTATGTGTCGGTCTTGCACACAAAATCCCAACAAATCATCTTGCAATGCAACATACCAAGGGATAATTTACAAGTGATCATGTATATGTCTGCAAGTGGCCCACTTTTACCCCCCCTCCTCATTCTCCAGGTGTCCCCTGCTCAGCCAACAGGGGGACGGCGGCGGCGTGCGTCGGAGATGGACCCCGACGAGAGGAGGCAGCGTTTTCTGGAAAGAAACCGGGCGGCCGCTTCTCGCTGCAGACAAAAACGAAAGCTGTGGGTCAACTCCTTGGAGAAGAAGGCAGAAGATCTCGCCAACATGAACATCTCCCTAACAGTAAGCTATGCTGAACATTTAAACGTGTTTTGTGGATGGTCTGGGGATGACTGAATGAATGGTGAATATTTTGTGTTGCCATCAGAATGAAGTGACTCTGCTGAGGAATGAGGTGGCACAGCTGAAGCAGCTCCTTCTAGCTCACAAAGACTGCCCTGTCACTGTCATGCAGAAGAAGGCAGCTTTCTTAGGTAACCATTCGAGATCATTAACTAACATGTCTTCCTGTTTCATCACAACTTTTAGTCAGCTCTCATCCACCATCTCATCCATCTAATGTGTTATTTTTACTCGCTCACCTCTCTAAGGGTGAATGTTGCTCTGTCTGTCCGTAGCTGCAGGAGGAGAGGAAGCCTCGAGGGAGGCTTCCACCGAACACATCGGCTCCCCGGCGGCGGTCATTCAGCACGTGCCGTCACCCGCCGCCGTGGCCTCGAGCCCGGGGCCCACCATAAATGGACTGAGCGTCCGGGCTGCAGAAGCGGTGGCCATGTCGGTGTTAGCCGGCATGGGCTCGGGCCAGCCTGGAGGGGTCGTCATCGCTCCGCAGTTGCAGCCAACCCCAAGATGATGTGCAGGCAGACGGCAGCCGGAATGAACTCGAGTGACATTCAGAGGCCGCACCGGCGCAAGGCTTGGTGTGAAGAGGGAACCCACCCTAACTCCCATAGATACCCCTCCTTTTCCCTCCTGAACATCCTACAGTAATCACACAAAGACCTGGTGCGGTACTTCTGCCAAACCCTCCTCCAGCAGGCTCCCTTTTCAGAAACGCTTCACCACTCTGTGTATGTAAATATGAATTATGTGTCGAACACTTACTCTGCAGGGTTCGGGGTCAGTTATGACAGAAATGGTTTTAGATCCAGAAGAAAAATATGAAATGGCTTTTTAACCAATTAGTTATTTTATTTCAGCTTGGAAAGCAGCAACAGTCCAACTTCTTCCCACACTGGCTGTGATGAGGTTTGTTTCTTTCCATGCTAACAGTTTTACTGTAATATATCATGATTGTTTTTTTAATTTGTAAAAAAGAGTTTTGAACATCTGCATTTGTTCATATAATGTTTTTAGTTACATCTAGGAAGAAGATTATTGAATATGCCAATGTTTTTCTCAATAAATTTATATCTAATGGCGTTATCAACATTAAATTACACTGGATGTGGGTGATATCCATCCATTTTCTTCCTACCCAGTTATTCTTGCAGGGTTGCTGGGAGGCTGGTGCCTATGTCCAGTGGTCATTTAGTAAGAAGCGGATGATCATCAGTCCCTGTTGTTAGCATAAATAATCCAAACATACAGAGAAATCAACTTAACTCCATAAATTAAGTTGAATGGAAATAAAGTGAAAAACTTAAAGAATAAGTGCTAAATGTAGAAATGTACTACACTATATGCTACTTGGTAGAAAGGGTTTCATTGGTTGTGGCAGTTTCAACATTGCATAGATCTTCAGTTCTTTCCATTTATGTCAAGCTTCCTGTTTGGCAAGAAAGCTGACTCACCTCAGTGAAATCAAATCTACCTAAAAGAGTATAAATGAAATGAAGCTTAAGCATGCATTTTCTTCATTAGTGGAGTTTTGTGCTGTGAGTATAATAAGCAAAGAGTCCAGGTTGGTTCATTTTTTCCAAAATACATTTGATTTCATAACTAAATGTATGGATTAGGTTTTGTTGATTTCTTTGTCACCAACATCTGGTGGGAATTTTATGTAGGTACTCCATTTAAAGATATATTCACAGGTAAAAATGTTGACATGTTTAATGCTCATTTTCAGTTGTAGCAAAATCTTTCCAGAGTGCTGTGAATGCAGTCTGGAAAAACTTTCTCTTCTTTTGTTATTTTATCATCTGTCTTGTACTTTTTTTATTTTATAAATGTTTGTCTTTTTTTCCCAGTCAACTCTTTTAATAATAATGCACTCAATGAAAGTTGGTTGAGTTCACAACAAAACAAATCGTAGATGTGAACACAGTTAATCCTGTGATTGTGTGCCCCTTGTTTTCATTAACATGTAACCCATTTAGAATGGATATCATGATATTAGTCAATTGTATCAACCCCCTACTGACTGCATGGATTACTCGAGGCTGAATAATACCACTGTTTGTATGTAGCCCATTATACTCTCACTGTTTTGTAACATCAATCTGTAAACGTGAAAATTGGCCCGGTTCTGTTAGGATTCCATCATTGGCCCCTGAAAACTTTGGGCTATTGGAATACTTTTAATTGATAATCACAAGTGACAGGTTTTAAACCCTTTACCCAGACATTTCAGTTGAGTAAAGAGTAGTGCAATATATTTTTCTATTGAATATCAATGTTCTTGCTTTGAGCGGACGTGTGTAGTCCAGCTGCTGACAGGGTTTGCTCTATTTCAGTCAAACGCTACAGTTACGAGGTGACCAAAGGAAATGTGAAGATAATTGTTGAGTGAATGGACTGTTAATCAGTGTACATGTTAAAGTTACAAATGTTCTGATTGGGAGCTTTATACCATAAAACTAGTGCTATTACATTATGAACCAGATTAATTATACATGCACGGTGCTTCTTTTGACTTTCTTTTGCAGCTTTTTAATATATGACATTGTTCTTCCACGACTATCGACTATCATCTTATTTTTATTTTTTTCCTCGTTGCTGTTTTTATAACATGTTTTAGGCTTCTTGTTTTCTGTGGGAACGTTAAGGTGTTCTCCATGTGATTGTACGCACCCTTTTGGTTAGAGGTTTTTATTTTTATTTTTCTCTTAGTGTTTTACTACATGGGGTAGGAAGGGGGCATGTTGAAAATATCTGTGTGGAGTAAGTTTGTTCAATACTCAGGCCTCAAGATGGGAAATAACTTGTGTATAGTCTCAGCTAATTAATAAGTTGTCTTTGACAAACGATAAAAAAAATTAATTTATAACAAAAGGTAAATGTGTTTTTTTTTTTTTTTTTTTTTTTTTTTACCTTTTTGGAATTTTAGCTCTTAGTTTTTTTTTAAATAATTAGACATCAAATACTCTATATATGTATCCAAAATTCAAGATTTTCCCTGTCTTTTAATTTTAGATTTCTATATGCCTCTTTGTGATCCCACATTAGGAAATCAATGCACAAGGTATCTTAAATTTTCTTCAGGTAGGAAAAAAAAGTGGTTATCTTTTGTTAAATGAGTGAAATAATGAAACCTTTTGGTGTTCAGGTGTAAATAAAATTTTATTTTCCAGCGATAAATAAAAATTAGGCACTAATTTATCATGTTTATCATTTATTATAATAACCTTGATTTAACGTTAAATTTGAAATACATTCCAATTGAAAATGTTTGAAATCCCCCAATACTGTATTTTATTATTCATATTATTATTTGTACTAATGAGAGTGTCAATAAATATCAATATATTTTAAAAAATATCATTATAGAGTTAACTGTGCGGTTTGTTAAAAGTCATACTCATCATAAATGAGTATGTTTTCAAGAGTATTTGTAGGGTCATGCAGGCGACACGGTAAGGTGGAAAAAAACCCAAACGGTTCTTATCATCACCCTTATCCTTACAATAGTTGATGAAAATTTGCCGTGAGTCCATATCGCCCCTATGCCAGGTTGCCATCTTCCACCTGGGGTGAGTCAGGTGAGGTGGAATAAGCTTGTTTCGCTTCCAGCTGCTAACAGCAGAGGGCGCACCGAGTCCACTTCCTGCCTCCACAGGGTCCCATCATCCCGGGTCACGTGACTAACGGACTCCTCTCTGCCGACTTGTTCCCATCTCCCACAGTCATGGCGGTGTCGGGGAGTCGCGGAGATGTAGTAAACAGCACCGCTACCACGTCTTGATTGTTTATCCCCCCCCGCCCCCCCAGCTCCCTCTTGTAGCCTCTCGCCGGATCGTCACCTGCTGCCCTTCGAGCTCATCAGATCCACCCCGCTGGCTGCGGAGCCTCCGAAGATGACCGACCGCGGCGTTGATCTGTCGGCTCTGCCGAAAGAGGTCAGGGACCAGCTGGCGGAGCTGGACCTGGAGCTGTCCGAAGGTAGGCTGGATGTTCCTGCAGCGGGTTCAGGAGCTTTAGATGCTGTAGATTAGGTGGAAACTGGAGATTTATTTGCGGGTTTGTGTTCCTTCGGGGACTGACAGGGTCTCTGTGTCAGCTGGTTGAGTCACGAATATAGCAAAAATATAAACACACACTGACCCCCTTTTTAAAACATGAAATCCCTGCCATTTTTACTGCTACACGTAGGGATTATCATTTATAGTTTGTGCGGGGTGAGGGGGGGGGGTTATGTTTTTTTTATGTTTGTTTTTTTTATGAGACATCTGCAGTGATTTCTTGTTTTTAATCCGCATTATCATCCTGTAGTTAGTCCATATTGGTGAAATGAGCATCCATCCACTCCTGTTGTTGAATGTGGGTCAGCTTTGTCATTCCAGAGGCCCTGTGTATGAGGATCAGTGGACAGTGTTGGTGTTGTGGCCCATCCAGCATCCATCTCTGCTGCTCTCAAAGCTTCAACTCTGATCTGCAGCACATAATGAAGGCTCATTTGCTTAAAAAAACAAAAAAAAAAACAAAAAAAAAAAACACTGCTGTAGGAATAGAGAATATGGATCTGGATGTTATGCAAGTCTCCTCGTCACGTTGTGAATCACTAGGCAGAAACTTGATTTGTGCCGTGCAGTTCTCTGGTGCCTGGAGGAGGATGAGTAATGCCATGCTTCACATAGAGCCAAACAAGAAGAGGTATGTGCCACTAATGATGTCTTAGCCCCTGCTGCAACACAGAGTCATTTGTCATTTTGTTCATAGGTTGCAAAAACCACAAGCTATTTCTTTAAAAACATCTCAATAGTTCTGGTAATCTTCTAAAGTATTGCTGTTGGTGTTTGACTGTTGTGAAAAATGATTTCCCCCCCCCCTTACAACATTCTTCTGTTTTTACCTTCTTGTTGGGCTTGGATGTTTTGCACCATCAAATAGGTTTTAGTATCAGACAAATATAACCTCAGTAATCACAAAAACCATTTTTTTTTTAAATGAAATGTTTGTGTTTTTAAAGGGGAAAAAAATCCCAACCAAACTGATTCTGCCCAAAAAAGCTACTTTACCCCAAAACCCACTAACTGGTTGTAACCTTTCGATTGCTGCCTGTGAGCCTTGATTGATTGATTTTTATTTCAGCCACATTAAACCGTTTTAGACCAAAGCACAATATCTCTGTTGGATTTAGGTCCAGACTTGGACCTAAGGCAGTCCCGGAGCATCACTCTGCCACCGCCGTGTTTGACTGTACGTATGATTTGTTCTGAAATGCTTTGTTGTTTTAAGACCAGATGTAAATATTCAGTTTTTCTCTTGTAAGTTCACAGGATATTTCCCCCCTCAAAAGTCTTGAATATCGTCTACATGTTGTTTCTGGCGAATGGGAGATGGCTGCTTTTGTCCAGCTGTGCTTTTGGCCTTGAAACCCATGTATGCCATGTTTTCCCCCATCTTTCTGTTATTGTCAGATCATAAATACTAAGCCCTAAAGTGAGGCATGTAGTTCTTTAGACGCAGTTCTGGAGTCTTTGTGGCTCCCTGGACGTGTGGTTGATGCTCCTTTGGGAGTAGTGTTTGCAGGGCGACCTCTCCTGGGAAGGTTCACAACAGTTCAGCGTTTTTTCCACTTGTGGATAATGGCTCTCACTGTGGTTCACTGGAGCTGAAAAGCCTTAGAAATGGGTTTCGAATCCTTTCCAGAATGATTAGATGTCAGTGACCCTTTCTCATCTATTCTCTATTTTCTGTAGATCTGTGTCTAAATGGCATTTTGCGTTTTAGATCTTTTGGCCGACCTCATGTTGTCAGACAGGTTCTGTCAGGCGTCGGAGTGGATAGTGAAAGAAAAATGTCATAGTTCATTTCTTATTTTATGATTTAACAAGTGGGATGATTATTTTTTCGCATAGTGCACGGTAGATTTGCTTTGCTTTATTCCCTTAATAGATGGAATCACCACTCTGCTTTTTTTTTTTTTTTTAGTTTTTTTATTTACTCACTTTGTCTTTGATATTAAAATTAGTCCAATGATCTAAGTTATTTAAGTAACAAGGCTGTTATTTTTAAATTAGTCATCAAAGTAAATACATTTCTTGGATTCAGTGTCAAGTCAAAGTTTCTGGGACAGCTCCACGGCTAATAGTAAATTCAGACTGTTGTCGGTTTTAGTCTCTTGAGTGAAGCTGTGTGGTAAGGTGACACCTCACATCCCTCTGTAAGAGCCTCAGTCCGTCTCAGAGGGCCGCGCTGTCGTTTGAAACATTAGATCAAACGTGATGAAGCGCTCCTGCTTTCCAGATGCTTCCTCTTCTTCTTCTGTATCAACACCTTCTGGTGTCACGAAGCGTCCTCGCCGTCTGCCCGACGTCCACTCGGGCTGTAAACGGCTGACGGCAACAAGGCAAGAAGCAGCTGGGCACCCAGCGAGCCTGAAACTTTGTCGTGGATATCTTTTACATGGCAACAATTCCCTCATTGTTGTCCCCGTAGATGGGATTCCCCCTAGCAACAAGCGTAGGAAAATGTGCATCAGCATCTTTTATGTCCTGTCTGAAAACTCGTAGGGCTGCAGTGTGATGTGCATTTTGCTTCTGTGCGTGTTGGTGGCGATAGTCGCAGCTAGGAGAGGAAACGGAGCAACTCCACCTACTTTAGCTTCCATGACTGGAAGGACACAAAGAAAACCTTTGACGGGGTAAAAGGTCTTAGTGACTGAGCTGGGCTGGAATGTAGAGCACTAAACCACAACAGTTTAAGCTGCTCTGGACGAGGGTACAAGTGTCCAGTGCTTATTCCCGGCACTATGGGGATTATGGTGTTTGACCAGGTTGCTGTTCTTCACACGGCCGGACTCACGTAGCTATTTAAGCTCCGTTTAGAAGGTCTTCATGCGATGGGACGTCCGCCACAACCCGGTGACTTCGCATGTGTCTCCCAGAGCACCTTAATAACAGACCTCATTATTTTTTTTTTTGCTGTTTTTTTTATGTGATTGAGTTACTGAAAGTAGTTCATAATATATAGCGTCCATGTGCTTTCTTTTTATTGTTTGTTTTTACGTTTCAGTTAAGTTTAAGACCTGAATAGTGTGGCATGCACCTGTTTATACCTCCACTAAGTTTTCCTTTTTTATTTTTTATTTTTTGCTTTAACTAGGGGATGAATCTACTAACTTTCCACAGCTATACACTAAAGTTTCTTTTCCATTTTTTTTATTTTATTTTATTTGGACCAAAGATAAAATTTTATAAAACAAAGACAATACAAAGAAACATACGACACTAGTGAGAACAGCTGTCACCAAATACATCAAGATAAATGTACAGAATCTTTAAAAGCCACTACTGTTAGATTTTATGCAGTCTGAAAGTTTGATTTTAAAAGTGCTCATTCTTCACACAAATAAATTCAATTTCTAATAAGGAAATATTTAAATATAATGCTTCTCAATTACCATGAAATATATCTTATAAAAACAAGTGAGCAACGACAGAGCTGCAGACAAATAAATAAATTGCATGTTTGGCAATTCTCTGTGAAGTAGCCAAGAGACTTTTGGTTTCATCGAC